CTACTCCAATTTTTTTGAAGTACCATGGTTTTCGAAAGTATTGTAGCACGTTTGAGGCTTGACTACTGTATCAAGTTTTTTATCTTTATTTCTTCTGACATTCATTTAGCGCATATAGACAGAACAATACTATTTTGGTTCTGCCCACTGCAGCCATTTGATACCAGTCGTATTTCCTTCACATTCTCAGGAATCGTGATTTAGTTTAACACATGTTAACGGGATTTAGCTGGTTTTATTCATGAACAAAAGCATCATAGTTGGTTTAACAATGGATTTAGCCGGTTTTGGTAAAACTAAGGATATAACCACTTTTGTAATGAAACACGCATTAGCTTTAGTCGGATTTGAAAATAAATCTGAAATAGTGAGCTGATTTATATAGCTTTTGCTGTAATTTGGATTTTGGTAAATATGGATATATCAGCCCCTTCCCACTTCAGTTGGCCCAACTATTGAAATATTAGTTTTTTTCTTATCAAACACAAATAATAAAAATGTAGCAGGGTGTTACAGGTTTAAAATATTAACAATGAATATTTTGATAATATATAGTAGAAAACACCAACTTTATCACTCCCTAATTAAATTTGCAGCATAAAAATAACACATGTTGCAATTACAGCATATCAACCTATTTTCATTTCAATGCAAAATGAGCCTATAACGCATAGGTGGCTGTGAAAAATAAAAGCCATGACAATTGTTTTATTAATCACAGCTGTCAGAATACGTTTAAAATAGTTTTGGGTAATTAAAGTTTTCAAAATGGGTAGAGGAAAGGTTATTAGTGAGAAAATTCAGTTACTGATAATTCAATTTTTTTATTCTGGGAAATCAAACTCAGAAATTGCAACTTTGTTAGACTTATCGCGGTACAGTGTGAGAAATATTGTTAGAAGATATAACGTAACTGGTTCAGTTAGTATTAAGCCACGATATGTCAAAAAAGTAATATCACAAATGCCGACCGAAGAGCATTAAGAAGGATAATCGTGAAAAACAGGCGTGCCAATTATTTACAATTACGAGCTCTGTGGAGTGACGCTGTTGGAAGGAGAATTTCGAGGTCCATAACTCATATAGAGGCCCACAAACTGGGAGTTAGCACTTGCAAGGTAAGTTTTCTTATAAAAAAAAAGTGAAGTAAGAACCCTAAAGTTGCACAACTTGTTTACAGGCTAAAGAAAAGTCACTATTAACTCCACTGCAAAAGAAAAATCGGCTTAGATGGGCTAAAGAACATAGACAATGGGCACCTCAACAATGGTGTGCAATACAATGGAGTTATGAGGCCCGATTCGAAGTTTGTGTTGGTGACAGTCGGAGTAGAGTTAACCGCAAAAAAAATGAAGCATTCCATATAGACTGTCTGAAGAGAAAAGTGAAATTTCCAGCATCCGTTATGGTCTGGGGCAGTATGTCATCAAAAGGAGTAGGAAAACTTCATTTTATTGTTGGAAATGTGGATACAAACAAATATTTGGCAATTTTAGAAGCATCGTTTTTACCAGTGATGGAAGAATGTTTGACATCCGGCCAAGATTTTGTGTTTCAGCAAAATGGTGCAGCGTGCCATACCTCAAAAAAGGATATAAAATGGCTCGAAAGCATGAAACGACGGCTGATACGGAAGGCAAACAGATTCAGTAGACTCGCACGGGTATTAAGTATCTTGAAAAGTGGCTTCACGTCGAGTTTTTTTTGTTGAGATGTAGGTTTTTTTATATTATGTAGGTTTTCCTACAAGACATCATCTGGGAACTAGCTGTAATTCAGGTGATGCTCACTTTTAGCAAGCGCGGAATGCGAAATGACTACTTGCATACTAGCCTACTAAGCCAAAAAGTTGACATTTTATCGTTTTTTTTTTGACATTATATTGATCTTCATAGCTGGGTCTGTGAGCTCCAAACGCAAGTATGTACTGTTGAGCTGAGTTCAAATTTAGAAACGCGACCTCTAGCGAAACTTGTATGTGTATTTGACCGTATAAAAAGAAATCCAAAACACATTCGTGGATTATCTATTTGTGCATCCAAGCACGTACAAAATATACGTATATTAGAGCGGCTTGCCTTTCCAGAAGTGACTTCTGGCAATTCTGGCCAAGATTAATATGTCATAAATGTACGTAATAAAGAGCCGAGGAGCATGCGAATAACCTAAGAGACAGCGTAGGCGAGAATACGAATTTATATTTTTTCATAAAGCAGGCTTTTATGTCTTTGGGAATTTATGGCCCACATATGCTTTGCATTTACTCTCCTGGAACACCAAGATTCATCGTCGCCACGGACGTTTTTGTCAAGTGTGCTTAAAATATTAGGATGAGAGAAGGAAAAAGAATCTTTTATTCATACAAGGTCTTCTAAATATGTCTAGACAGACCAAATCATGGAAAATGGAAGCATGATGCATATCAATAAAACAGTTTTTAAGTGGTATAAGATATCATTGTAATAAAGATGGCGCCCAGCCATCATCTCGAATTTTTCGTCCGTCATTTTTATAGTGAGATGCAGTATCCATTAACTCCATCGCTCCAAATACCAACGTACTAAGTTGACGCGATAAAAAGATGAATAGGGGCAAAAAAGCTTAGCGTTACGTTAGCTCATACTAGTAACAGCTTTCTTCGATCAACCACAGACGGCCAATCATGGACAGCTGTTTCGTGCTGTTTGGCAACTCGTCAGGATATTCCAGGCTTGGTCTTAGGTTGGACAATGAAGGAAACAAATATTATCCAGTATGCGCCCACGTAGGTGTGCACTACTTTGTTGGCGAGTAGACCTTCACACCAGGATCGGCGGCAAGTGGTGAGCCGGCTGACAATGAGATACAGTTCCAAAATTTCCGTAGTGATCGATTCTGGTAATAGATGGCACGTTATGCTGTCTAACTCCATTTGTAACGAATTTAAGAAATATGAAAGGATATGTAGAGTTAAACCTGTGCATTATATTGAAATTTTGTTCATCTATGGACTGCAACATTTTCCAGCTTTTTCCCAGATCGAGCACGCAAGTACCCGTTAACTTCTGGACATCGACTAATTCTGCTTCCAAGCAAAAAACTCGTGTGCAGTAGCAGTAACATTAGTATCCCCAGCGGATGATGTCGGCGGAATGGGCAATAGCTCACCTGTCGGCCGTATTTATTATTCAAGGAATTACTTGCATGGCGCCTGTTAAATATGAAGCTGGTGCGTGGTTGGAATGCCGATGCACTTAATAGACTCTGTTCTCTAAATAATAAATGTAATCGCTGGGGAGTGTTACAGCAGCTCTCATGCCAGTGGCGGGCTTATACGAGGCTACCCACTATAAACTGGCATCCCCGCCAACGCTTTTGTACCATCGCACAATGGTCTAGAACACACAAAAGCTGGCAAAGATTCAAAAACGAAGTAATTAAAATGGAAGAAAGATGATTTGGGCACAGGATACTTTTTAAATGTCCTTGTCTCACCAAAATAACATCATATACCATGCAATATATAAGCAAAAAAGATATTTCACGCATAAAAATTAACAAGTTAAAACATCAATGCTAACATTACTATGAAATAAAACAAAGCTTTCAGGATATATTTAAGGGATTTTCGAAACACTAGCTCTCTATGTCTGTAAATCTATGCAGTCATGCGAGGTGTTCCCATTATCCTTTCTCTCAGTCTCTCTTTAAAATGTTTAAAAAAATATCAGCAAATTCAGAATAAATATTTGGTGCTATTTGGCCTATTCTTTTTTTCTTGCTAAAAAATTCCCATTCTTTTTTCTAATTTGTGACTTGTACTGTAAGAGTGCCAGATGGGTATCAACTTTTGTCTATTTTTGTGTTGATATTCTAAAATCTTATAAGCGAAAATCTGCCGGAGATCTATCTTTTTTTAATGTATGTACCAGATCTGTCGGTTAAAGTCTTATTTTCTATAGAATGATTTTAAGGAAGCGCTTTTTTATTACTTCTTTTTATTTAAGGTAAGTTTTATATATCCTCCTCTTCCGCCAATTCCGTATTATAGAAGCGACACAACCAGGGCTAAATACAGAATTTCCAATTGTTTATTGTCAAGACTGCTTCATAATTTTGAAAATTTATCTTTTCTCAATTTTCTTACTAAATTTCGGGCATGAATATCCCATCTCATCTCAATATCAACCCCAAAATATCATACGTGGACCGCCTCTTTCCATTGTTGATCACTTTGACAAAATGTTCAATGTTTTGAAATCCAGAATGATTGCTGAGGAACACGAAAAAGGGATATACATTGTTTTTTTCGAGATATCTCAATATGGATTCTACTGAAGAAGCTAAGACATTTCATTTGATATATGATAAACATTTGCCCTTATTTGTTGTCCACACAAACCGTGGGTAGAATGTATCATCACTTTTCTGTCGCGTTCTTAACACCTTAAAGTGGTGCCAGATAAATCCTAGAAGGAAATTTTGCTAATTTTCATAAACCTTATCAATCCAAACCAGCTATAATAATTGGTAGCATGGACGCCTTGCTATATTACATTGGATAACTTCCAGATTCGGACTTAATCTTTACATATGGCGATTTGTTCAACATGCTGCATGGTTTTCCATAAAAGCGTCGAAGTAGAAAGTTTCATAAGTTTCAAGCCGACATTTTGAGACAAACAGGTCAAGAAAGGCTATGCGATACCAAAAACCGAAATCTTTCAAGATTTATATCAAAGTTAAAAAATAAGTTGCTGGAGGTCAGTCAAAACAGGTCTCTTTTTTAACCGGATACAAAGATTGGCTCAACTAGACAAGAAAATTTACAAGCAAGATCAGCCAATTACTGAAGGCGGACCAAAATCTAATTTCGCTGATAGTACCGAAAGAACTAAAAGTTTAAGAACTTTGGAACTATGAAGCAGCACGGACGCGAAAGTATTGACATACAAGTTATGGAATCCTGTTGGTAACATAACTATGTGGTACAAGCCCATTATTCCAACAAATTGAATTGTATGGCAAGCAAGTCCATTAAGAAATATTTGCTTTTTACTTCTTTTTTTTTCGATACAGCTCTGTTATTTTTCCTATACAGATTAGAATTATATCGAGGCACAGACAGAGTTTGTTCAATAGTTGTATCCACTCTTCGTTCCTGCAATAAAGTCTGTTATTTTTTTACCATACGACGTGTGCATTCTTTATCTGGCGCTGCGAACAGGATCGTTATACGCCTTCGTGGAAAACATCTGGAAGTTTGTACGAGCCCAGCCAACCATCAGTAAAATCTTCGAGATTAAGAAGGTGAGCTGAACTACGTCCCTTCTGTGTGACCAACCATTGTGAGGTAGGAAGTATCCACTTCCGTAAAGGCTGATACACACAGTGCCTGCGGCAGGGCCGCCGGGCAAGCCGCCGGCTAAGCCTCCGTACACCCGGCAGCATACAAAGCCGCCGGCCTTGCCGCGCAAAGGAGCCGCCGGCATTGCCGCCGGGGTATGCCGGCGGGTTACGCGGCTTGCTGGCGTCACTTCGTTCCTGGCATTCGAGCGGTAGTGTTGTGCGGTTTGTGTTTTTAAACAAATTAAAATGTCGTTTAATTGGGACGACGAAGCTGTGCTGCTCTTAATTGAAAAATTTAATGAAAATGATATATTATGGAATCCCAGAAATGCAGACTATAAGAATAGGAACAATCGACGCACTGAACATAATTGCAAGTGTATTTGACATTTATAAAGGCGAAGTAGAGAGAAAGTTAAAAATGTAACCTCTCATTATTTTCGGGAAAAAAAGAAGTTCGAACAGATGCACAAATCTGGTTCAGGCATAGACGATGTACAGAAACCCAAAAAACATGCTATTGCGCAAACGCTGACATCCCACATCATCTTTTTTATACTCTTCTATCATTACAGTACCGTTTCGCCATTTTCTATTTTGTAAACTTGGGTGCAACCCAAACCTTCTCGTCCTTTTGTATTTTTTCTTATTAAAATAAAAATTACAACTGCGGCGGCTGTGCTGATAATTTCCTTATTGATTTTAACCAACCAACCATAAAATATGCACTTCACTAGTGTTCTATGAGACTGTCACAACCGGAATGATGCTTGGCGGCTTTGCGCGGCTAGTATTGCCGACGGCATAGCCGCTCGGCATAAACCCGGCGGCATTGCCGCCGGCTTGTGTGTAGTAGCTTTAAGAGAAACGATCTGAGAACCTGAGAACCACGTCCGAGGTCCCTGCAGAACGAGCCTAGAGAAACAGAGAGCTACAAGAACCAGAGCAGTCTCCGTTATGAAAAATTTGATTTTTCACATAACGCTAGAGTAAGCCAAATCCATTTTATCTATTTAGTCAAAAAAACTTTTGGTAAATCTCCAGTACGAGAACGATCACCCATTAGAAGACAACCAGTAAAAAACCAAGCTAACGTTAAAGAGGAATTCAGAACAACCATGGCTGACAATCCACAAATGTTATTTAACCTATTGAAAGATAGTGTGCCTATTTTTTCTGAAACATCAAATAATTTATGTGTATATTTACGTAAATCTAGAGAATTTGTTGCCGCTTTGCATGGCCCATATCAAATTCATGCTTTATCGTACGTAAAATCCAAACTACAAGGAGAACCTTCTGTTATCGTTGAACGAAATAATCCTCAAACTTGGCAAGAATTTGAAGAAATTCTCAAAGAACGTTACAAAGATTCAAATTCCGAATTAATGCTACTTGATGAACTTAGAAATTTATCCCAGTACACAGACTATATGAATTTTCATACTGAAATTTTGCAAAAATTACATATTCTTAGAGAATATGCTCTTTTGGAATGTTCTGATGTAGTTGCTCAATCTAGAGTCGACCTTTACACAGAAGCTGCATTAAATTCATTTGTAACTGGTATTAAAGAACCATATAAATCACTCCTATTTAACGCAACACCTACAACTCTTCAAGCTGCCTTACAAAACTGTCGAAAATACGATAATTTACAAATACAATCGCAATGCAAAGTATTTACTATACAAAATGCCAAAAATACTAACGCCATTCAAAAACCGAAACCTACAAATACCGTTCAAGATACACCTATGTGGCGATTCCCTTCAAACAACAATTTTACAATCCGCAATTTTACCAACAGCCACAACGATCTAACTTCCCAACTGGCCCGATTAACATCAGACCAAATTATTTTAATAATCAATTTCAAAGACAAATTCAACCACGACAGCCTAATTTCTATCCACAAAATAGACAAGGTCCACCAAAAAACTTTAAACCGACACCCATGTCTACATCAACTAACACGAGACACACTTCGCCTGAATCAAACCCAAACTCGATTCAATTTTCAGACAAACACTTTTATGCCTATCCTCACCGAATTGAATTTATAACAGGTAAAAAGAAAAACAAGATCAAATTACTTCCGTATAAGACACTAAGGTGCTCTTTAATTAATCACTTATGTTCCTCATTTATTTTGGATAGTATAAAAAATTATTGTACCCCTGGTATTAAATACGGAATTTGGTACGACGATCAGAAACTTTTGCCCATACTTAGTAAAATTATGACACAATCTTTTTCTGCAAAACATATTGTACTAGAAAAAGCTGCATTTAAACCAATTTATTTAGACAAACAAGAAATGAAAGACGAAATAACTTTGTACCATCATAAATTTCACAACGGAATTAATGAAACTTATTCTCATTTCCAAAAGACTCACTATACACCAAAACTTAAAGACCTTATAACTGACATCATTAATAAATGCGAAATCTGTTTAAAAGCTAAATACGAACGAAAACCTTACAAAGAACCAATCCAAGGCCCATTTTTCAGTAACAAACCAATCCAACTAGTGTTCATAGATATTTTTACTATTGAAAATACTAAATATGTAACTTTTATAGACCACTTTAGTCGATATGCCCAAGCCTATCAGACCATGTCACGAAATCACGTTGACATACTATCTAAAATGAAACATTTCTTTTCACATCATGGATTTCCAAAATCACTTCATGCCAATTATGGAGAATTACGTTCAGAAGTTATTAAGATTATTGTAAAGCTCATGAAATACATTTGCACTTAGGAAGCACCAGCAATCCTAGTTCTATTGCACCAATTGAACGATTACATAGTACCATTGGAGAAAAATTTCGAATCCTAAGACAGACTCGAAAAACAGACACTACTACTGACCTAATGACTGACGATATATTAAATTACAATTAATCTGTTCATTCTACTACAAAACATACACCTTTTGATTTATTATACGGTAGTACTGAAGACCCTTATTCATCACATCTTAAACAAATGTTAGAAAAAGACAAAATTAATGAACAAATCGCTCACGATTCCTATAATCAATTAAAAAAACAAACTAACAAAATTAACGAAAACGCGTATCTAAGATCCCCGTTTTAGAATCTCCGATCTATATCAAAATCCCAATCAGACAAGCTAAGGACAAACCAAAATATCAAAAACACACTATTTTCAAACAACAAGGAAATCAAATTTTAATCGAAGATAGAAAACACATGCTGAGACGAATCAAGCCTCAACGTAAAAATCCTTTACAGAGCTCTACCAGTCCAATGCCTACCAATTCGAGCGCTACTGATGAACCCTCTGCTCAAAGCACCTCCGGTAATCAAACTGCCGCTAGGAAATTCAAGATTAATCGAAAATCGTCATAAAACTCAATTCCTTATTAATTTAAATTATATGTATAACCAATCCAAAACTACGTGAAAATCAACACGCACTGAATCTACAGAATTAAAAAGTTATTTTCTCCTGTAAACGTTTGCAAGGCACTTTTGAGCACAATACTATCAATATCCAAGAAAGCATAGTTTCTGTTACACAAAATATGGCTTTTCAAATGAGATTCTTCGAGCAAATCGCACATCAAATAAGTTTAAATTAAAATTAATCATTTGAGCGTCCTATCCATTCTTTCATTAAATCATAGGGAAATAAATATCCTCATTGAACATTTGCAAACTTTATACCATAACGATCTTCTGTTAGATTTTGAAACAATGCACCCTTTTGAGATACTGAATCTTTGCGAACTATCAATTGTAACTTTGCGAAATGAATCATATTCGTAATTCATGTACCTCTTCTTGACCGTAAAAACTTACAGTGTTTTTGAATTGTATCCGTTAATTATAAGGAATGAATTAATAAAGATCCCAAGCAATTTTACTTTATAATTTGAAGAAGAAAGATTTTGCTCCAATTTAATCAAACTAAGTAACAATCCGCATTTATGTTTTTAATTACTAAACAGGCACATGTAAGCCATCTATGTTGGAAAATTGTCCTCATATTCACTTAAAATACTATTAATACTAATATTTCAATTGATATTAAAGACTGCAAGCAGATTGAATTATCATTGACATTACTTGAAAGTAATTTTAGCTTTTTAAATCCTTCTTATTACCAAAATCATTTGGAAATAATAGTTCATACTAAGTTGCAAAAGCTTTCTTACGACTCTTACAGCTTTGGAACCATATTGTAACTGTAAATTAAATTTTCTCTAAGCTGGAGACCAACTTTTCGTAGAAGGAAGGAGTTATGGTATCCTGTTGGTAACATAACTATGTGGTAGAAGCCCATTATTCCAACAAATTGAATTGTATGGCAAGCAAGTCCATTAAGAAATATTTGCTTTTTACTTCTTTTTTTTCTCCTATAAAGATTAGAATTATATCGAGGCACAGACAGATTTTGTTCAATACTTGTATCCACTCTTCGTTCCTGCAATAAAGTCTGTTATTTTTTACCATACGACGTGTGCATTCTTCATCTTACATTATGCAGCACAAATAAAATTTAGAGCAGAGTCAAATGTAAAAGCTGCAAAATTGATAAAAAATATATCTAACTTCTGATTCGCTCTATCAGACATCAGTTTTTATAAGGTATTTAAGTCGTGCTATAATTTTAACGTATTTTTTTCCTTGTTATGTTTGAAATATAATATTTGTGTTTTTTAAAGAATCCTTCTTATTCGGCAATCGCTATAATATTATAACGATCCTACCTCCTATCAAACATCATGATATCAACTTATTTCAAGTACACTACACCATATTCTTCAGCGATCTCAAAAGCCCTTCTGTACTAAATTTCGCAAGGATGCTACAGAAGTTGTCTGTAAGAGTTCCATACAAAATATATAGGGTCTGAAGGGGAGCATAGATAATCATGCTAATCGTACGTTTTACTTGTCAAGCCGTCGTCAGAAAAGATGTAGGGTTTGTGATATCCAATGAATTCAGACTAGGGAGAAGGAGCGAGTCTGTGATTTCTGTCTCCAAAATTTCATAGTCTATGTTCAGGATAAAAGTTCATACTATAAGTCCATCAAGCTTAAGCTGCCAGTTTGACAGTTGTTGCCATTTTTCTTCGAAAACATATAAAAGTGGGTGGGTTTCACACAGTCCTAGCGTTTTAGACAATTGTCGAGAATGTTCAAGGTTTCTGTGGAATCCAAAACGCCTTTTAAACTGAATAATCGAGCAAGTGTCGGTAGTTCTCAGTCATCGGCGTTGCAGAAGGGGATTTCGGGCTTTTACCTGGACAGTTTTAAGGTAATTTTGATATATTTCAGTCCACTTCTTGTTTTTTAAGTACTCAGTCCGAATCTAAGGCTAGTTAATAGGATGCTATACCTAACAACAGCTTTGAAAACGTATTGGAGTATTGGATACAAACGAATTTTCTTAATGAATGACTTCAACTAAAACTTCAACTTTGTATCTTATCTACTTTCATTTTATTATTATTAGTATTACAAAGTAGAAATGAGCAGACTAGAATACTATAAGCTCATGTACAAAAGGAATACGTGCTATACGGATAAGTAGCGAAAACTACATAAATTAGAACAAAAAGTTCAAAGCCATAAATTTTGGTCACTGTTTGATCAAAGTTCTAAAAGTCACGAGATTCTATTGAGAAAAGTCAGTATGCGCCAAAAAAACTATCAATATCAAATTAATTGAATTGCTTCCTAATATTTTTATTGGATGAAGTGACAATGATGTAACGGAAAAAAGTTCCATATGATGCTTGCTTTTAGCCAAGAATCTGCTCGGATCATAACAACTGAATGTGGAGTTGTAGATTAAGGTTATGTAGGTTTTTGTGAGTTTTTGGGAAGTTGAATAGTATTTTTTCATTTCAAAGGATACCATTCGTGAAAATATTATGTATCTGAGAGGTTGCCAGGTCTTTTGTACCCCATAGTCAGCTACCACTGTTTCTCTCCCCCAGGTTGTGGGCTATTGACACGCCAGCGACTCGAATTGAAAATGTATCGTGCACCGTTCTATCCAGCATATCCAGAGAAGCAGCTTTCCCCTTTTCCGTGTTGTTAAAAACGGGATGAATGGCGATCGAAGGCGACCCATGTCAATTTGTTTAATGAATGCTGAATATTTCAAAACGCGAATTCTTTTCTATCCGAGGTTCCATTTGAATGGAAAAAGCGATGGATGCTGGCTTAACAGATGCAGGTCAATACCATGGAGATTGCGTGAGGTTTGCATATCTGCAATTCGTGGGACTTCGAGATCCATAGTTTATATCTACTCATTGGACTTTCGTCTGGTTGGTGGAACTCTAGTCATTGTTGATTACTTGAAAGAGAAACAAGGCGAGATATTTAAGACAGACCATGCATATTCTAATGCATTTTTTGAAGTTATATCCAAATCGCGGATCCCGGATTGGTGTAAAAGGCTCGTTCACTCCAAAGCGTCGAAAAATGCATGGGCATACCATGCTACAGCATCTGGCATCCGAAACTCAATTTTTACTCCCTTTTGTAGATAGTTTTTGGGCAAGGGAGTGAACCCTAGGGGTGTGGGGATCTTTTTGATGAAAAAGTCGGATTCAGCGTAAAAAATACGAAAACTCAATTTTCACGTCTCCTAGCAGGGGTTTATGGCCCAGGGAATGTATTTTTGATCCCGAATTTGAATTCGGCGTCAAAAATACGTAATAATACATGGTCTTCCTCACGTATATCAACCTTTATTTTTTGACAGAGACATACCATATACCTATAATTCCTACTTCCGACTATGATCTCAAAGCTACTGAACTTTTTGTCACATAAGTAAAGTAAAGTACTTATCTATAAAATGTATGCATTTGTTCCTAAGGCATCACGTAGTTTCAATACGAAAATTAAATAATGCAAAAATGCTGTAGCTTAAGGACTTCGTGAAACTATGTGTATGTTATATATACCTTTCAAGATTCGCTTTTTGTACATAATGCATGCAGAAGTGAATATAATAACGACCATGTTTTAATAGTACTACTTCTACCATTTTTCCATAGAGTTATGATCTTAATCTTTACTATAGCTAGTCTGTTGAACTTTTTAACTTAAGTTGATATTTTTTCATTCTCACATAAGCCATACATCACGGTGATCTGAAAAAAAATGTATATGTGTATGGTTGCACATCTGTGGTCCAGTACGTTAAGAGCTGTTAAACCAAATAAAAAGCTGAATTTGAAGAGATATTGATAAGAGTGACAGGATTAGATAATTTCAAGGCAGAAAACAGGGCGGTGATGTTTAGTAGAAAGGATAAATAAATATACTAGTACGTTATAGTCCCAGACCACGTACTGGTTTCCAGACCCGTCAAAAAGTCGAAGAGCTTAGTCGCAAAATTTTGCAGACCCTTTGACTATCACCTATTCTTGTTGTTACAAGATTTTCTGTCTCATACAATAGGTCATAAATGACGACTGACCATATATTATTTATTAATTTTTTGTTTTCTTTTTATCCGTCTAGAAAGTCAATAGTCGAGAGGATTTAAAGCTAAATAATTTTTTTGCTGGAAATATATGAAATCGGCGAAGACATTGGTTATATATAAATGTGGTAGAGCTGCGCAACTTCAGTATTAAGAATATTATCTCATGATTTGAACATAGTATTCCTGAAGTTGCCAATTTTATATACTTTCAACGACTGACTCATTTAAAAATTCTCTTAGTTGGTGCTGGCTACCCTAAAGATATCAAAATTTGACCTCAATTATGAGCTAACTATGATCAAAGCACATCTTTCTGTAACTTTCTTTTATATCACTCACACAATGAATTTTTATTTAGCAAACGAATCCTAAACAGTGGACGCAGCCCTTAATTATACCTGTCCCTCACATTTCAAGTTCTACTGAACGTAAATCTCTCACATTTATTAGCTTGTTTCCCGTGCTTTCAAAAATTCTAGAAAAAATAGTATAGAAACAATATAGATTATACAGGGTTGTCCAATAGGGACGCAGGAAAGTAAACGTCAATTTGACATAGACGCCATCTTTGTTTTCTGTCACCGACATGTCATTTTGTTAGTTGAATGATTACCATTGATCGCTATGGAGTCGTATTCGATTGAAGACCGCATTAAAGTTATTCAAGAGCACTACAAAAATGGTGCAAAAATAAAAAACACGTTTCGCGCGCTTCGTGAACATTTCGGTCGCAACAACCGCCCAAACGAAACAACCATCGGTCGTCTGGTGCGTAAATTCGAAGCTACAGGTTCTGTGGCAAATCTGCCAGGCTCTGGCCGGCCAAGGAGCGTTCGCACATCGGAAAATATTGCTGTTGTGAAGGAGAGTGTGAGAGACGATCCGAAACAATCAACAACGCGTCGATCCCAAGAATTGGGCATTTCGAGAACCAGTTTGCTCCGCATTCTCCACAAGGATTTGAATGTACATGCCTTCAAGATCCAATTAACGCAAGAGCTGCGTCGTACCGACCATTTTTCGCGCCGAACGTTCTCAGATTGGCTCCTTGAACACCG